ACACCAAACTTTAAAGAAGTTACTTGAAGAGCCTGCACAATTGCAATGCAGGTCTTATAAGAGCAAATTAAAGATTATATAGCCCTAATCTGTGTCTTGTATTAAGATAGAATTTATTTTAAAAATTAGTCATGAAATCTATGAAATTTTAAGGTGTTTTAGCAGCAAAGTATTGAAAAATACAAAACGTCAAGTCCAAAATCAAGTGACAAACATAGGAGACCAATCTTTAGGTCTCCTTTAAAAACAGCCATTAGGAAAATTGTATGAAATAGGTAACAAGATGCATGAAAATTTACTTTCCAATCATTCTTTCCATGAATAATATGTTACCTTTGATGAGCTAATGGGATGCTGCAAAAGCTGGATAGCTACTGGCAAAAACCACCTTCACAAGTTACGATGTTAACAAGCTGGAGGTAGTAAAGTGATGGTAAGTTTCAGGTGATGTTAAGATGACATCTCAGATTTATGATATTTTGAAGGAACATATAGAGCCACAATTAGAGAGACCACCAAATATTTTGACAAAGAGAATTTCTATGCATGATAATTCTCCATCACATTTGGCAAACAAAATTAATGAATGTCTGAATAAAACGGGTTTCAAAGAATCATTTAATGAAATGGCTTGCATGTTCACTTGATTTTAACTAGATTGAAAACTTGGAGAATTCAGATGAAAAAAAAAAAACAATAAAAAAGGTTTATATTGGCAAAGGGCAATTTACCAGCCAGGATGAATTCTGTAAATTTCTTTGGATGTTGTGAGGTCTATTTTCATATAAAAGAAATAGAACAACTCAAACTCAAAATGGATTCAGAATGTGAAGTATACATTTCACATTAAAGCCCAACCATAAAATTCAGGATTAATTATAAAAATCAAAATCTGGTTTCTACTTATAACTCATTAATCCCCAAAGTTCCATTAATGTTTAATTTTTTTTTATAATTTTGTCATTATTACGATGACAATTTTCAATTTTTGTCCAAAAGATTTATCTTTTGAATACATTTTGTAATTATTTCTAATTCCAATATTCTTGAAGTTTCAGTAACATTTTTTAAATAATTTCAACTCAGTAAAATTCATTAAATTATTGCTGCATGAGGGTAACATGTAGTCATATACATGTAAAATATCCTAGCCATTAACTATTTCTGTCTCATAAATCTTTAAGATGATAAATTATGGAGATATTTTTTCAAAACTTATCCCCAAATTACAAGAGGACTCTGAATTGATATTTATTATAAAAAATATGCTGCAAGTAATTAACTTTAAGGTAAAAAACTACAAGAATTATTAACAAATTATATGTACATTTTTAGGCAAACCCTATACTATTTATATATGCATATTGAAAAGGAGTTGGTTGTAACAAGAGAAGTAGAATTATTATATGCAGCAATAGATATGACAATATAACAAGAAATTGACTGTTCAGAAGCATTCTGTGCCTGCTGTTTAACTGCTTATCTAATTTTATCCTTCACAAAAACATAAACAAGGTGATTTGTTTGCCTTTTCTTTTTCTGAAAGTAGCCTAAAAAGCATTGTCAGGATTGTGCCTTGATACAATGTCTTCATTACAGAGTTGTTTGTTGAAATCCTAATACAAAGAAAAATGCTTAGGAAAATTGTTTGCTCCCTGGCCTATTTCTAGCTTGTAAGTAAATTAATAAAAATTAGATTATTTACTGGGAGAAAAAAAAATTGAAACCAAAACATAAGATAAGAATGATTAAAAAAGTCTGTCAAGACAATGATATTCAAAGGCAAAGCAGAATTATTTTTTTATTTTGTCAAAATTATCTTTCACTTAATTTCCGATTTAAATTTACCAACAAATATAGCGAAATGCCTAATAATTTTCTTAAATATAATTTTATGAATGTCTTTTAGTTTTAATAAAGGACTAACATACTTTTTTAAACTTCTTTTTGTTAATTCTTAAAAAAAGTGAAACAATAACCGAATTTTAAAAATTCAAGCGAATAATTTCTAAATTAAAGTTTATATTTTTGCCAGTATTCATATTGAAAAATAAATCTTTGTTTTTTTTACACATTTACACATGGAAGATCTGAAAATCTTATTTTATGAAAAAAGAAAAGAAAACGTTGCAGTTCATTCAATTTTGTAGAGAGTGTAAAAAAATAGTTTTGTTATTAAAATAAATAATTCCATTTCTAAATAAATAACAATTAAATAAACTACAGCTACACGCAATTGCGGCATGGTGATGATACCAGCTTCTGGTGATCATGTGAACATTATTGTCAGTCCCTTTAAAAGTCTAATTGATTTGCATCGGATGACTGCTGCACACTTGTTATTCTGACGAAACTGTCAGACACGATTGATTTTTGGCAGTATGAAAGAAAATGTGCTGTTTGTTCGGGTGATTGTAATGTAGTTTTATGCATCAGATTTCTAGCAATTATCGGTGCATAGAGAGAAGTTCAAGTGGTTATCGTTAAATTCAATTCCATGTTCCAATGACAACCCAACAAGCTTTCTTCTTCGTGTCCACAGGTTAAAATTCGGACATTTGTAAAGAAAGATTGAAAGAATATCGCTTATTGGGCCGAACTAGATTCCGTTACATTTTTATTTTAAGACAATCAAAAATTATTAAAAAAAACTGCGATAAAAATACAGAAATCGCGGAAAAGATAATGTTTCATTTTTAGCAAATAAGTGTTTTACTTTGCATTAAAATAAAAGTTGCAATCAAACTAATGCAATGGCCCATAAAACAGGGGTGAGGAGTGAAAGTAGTTATGACGAGAGAGACTGAATAAGAACGGAATTGTTGAAGGGAGTTGGGGCCTTGTCATTAATTACAGTTGTTTTAAAAAAAATTATTTTAAATACTTTTATTATTTCACTCAGTATCTTTTTACACGGGGTCTGCTAGCTTTATTAACCCTAACTGTGATAGCAATTGAAATTTCAGCGCTTCAAAAACCAAATCATTGAATGGGGATTTACACTGAGTAGTCTTCGGGGGTGGGGTGATTTAAAATTGTTGTTTAGTTTTTACTTTTTAGCTGGTTAGAAACACTAAAAAAATACGAGTACTTTATTAAGCTCCCATTTGCAATTAGTTCACAACGATTACGTACATACATTTTATCGCGGTAATATTGATAAAATTCACCAAAGCCAAAAAAATTACTATTTTTATTTTAAACAAGTGTAATTCATAAAAATTCGAAATTGACCAAAGTCCAAAACACTTACTTAGCTCAATAATTAACATCCCCCGTCACAACATCAAATGATGACACCCTTCTTGTTCAATAAAGCATGGTGTGATTAAAAACTCAAGAGAATATAGTGAATGAAATCATTTCACTGAAATGATTACTCATCACAAAAAAAAATCATACATTCACATTTAATGACATTCAGTGATTTTCCTAAAATATGCTAACTTTTTTCAAGATAACTGAATACGAAGTTGAAAACTTGACCGATTTGATATTGAAATATAAAATCAGACCAAGTCAAGAGCAGTTTTTTTTATCTAACTAAAAACTAAAACAGTAGACTGACAGTTCACCAGTACAACGTGTTGCGAAAAACTTGTCTAACGAATCAATCAACACTACCAACCTTAAATTTAAACAAGTGGTAATGATGTCATTTTTTTTTTAATCACTTGTTGTGAGCCATACTCATATCAAATTTTAAAGAATTATTATTATCAAATAATTTATTTTATTTTTACGTAATTATACAAAGATATAAGTTTCGATACTCTGACAAAGTTCTTGCACCTGGTGGGTAAGACTTTAAAACGATCACCTAGAAGATAATCAAGAAAAATCTTGTAAAAACTGAAAGTAATTACAGATTAAAAAAATAATTTTATTTAAAAAAAATGCAGTGAAGTCTAAGAAGAGAGAAAAAAAAGAGAGTTCAGTATCTGTCCATAAAACCTTTTTAGTTTTTTTTTCTTTTGCTTTTTTTTTTACATCTTCTTTCTGGTCAAAATTGGATGACGTAAGTTTTAAATTTAGTAAGTAAATTATCTTTATCTAGTTAGTGTTCAGAAAGGGGTTTTTGTTTATTTTGTCGAAGTTTTTTTTATCTTTGATTGTCAGTTGCGAAGATAGCGAGTCTTTACTAAACTTTATTTTAGTTTTTAATGACACTGATCACTTAGTCAGTAACAATAAATGTTTATTAAAAATAAAAATGTAATTTTGAAACTAAAAAGAACAAAAATTGGCTAAAAATCAATTTTTCTTTCTTATTTACATTGTGGCTCAAGGTCAAGTACAAGTGACCATAAAAGAAATAAAACATTAAAAAACGTTAAAAAAGTTTGTATCTTCAAGTAAAAAAAATTATTTAATTTTTTTTTCTAAAGAAACTCAAAGCAAAGCAAACTGCTATCAAACGTTTCAAATAAAAAACTTTGTCAGTAATGATATAAGAAAATAATTTATTGATGTAAAAATAATTGTAAAATTCCATTTTTAAATTTTATTTATTTTATTTTTAGGCATTTATATTTTTGTATCGTAAAAAAAGTAGAGAAAACCAATCCAAAAGGAACCAATTTCTGACGAAAGCCACAAACGAAGAGAAATATGAAACGTCATTAAAAATGTACTTTTTTACAAAACAATCAAATTCAAATGATTCAATTTTTATTTTTCAGCATTTTTAAATTTATAAATAAAATAATAAACCTAAAAAATATGTATATAAATCTAAAAATTAATTAAAAGAATATTAGGTTAATTTAGTAGCAAACCTTTAAATTGTTTTTTGTTGTTATTTAACAGAAAAAGTAGACATCGAAGAAGAAAGTGATAGTAGACGTCCATAAAGTAAGAAGGGGGATCAGATTACGCAATATTAACAATATAAAATGGTATCCCCCCACTTTATGTCCAGTCACGAACTGACATCAAAACATCACAACGAAAAGAAGGGAAATAGTGTAAAAAGAATCGTTTAAATCATTCATTTTTACCTTGAATTAATTTGTTGGTCTTTTCTATTTGTTCCAAGCTGTTTAGAGTCTTTTGATGAGTTCTCCTCGGTAGAAAACCAGTTATTTTCTCCCAGTATCCGTTATGACATCCATATTGATTGAAGTTTGGCCAGCTCTAAACAAAACGAGTTGAAAAAGAAAAGTCAACAAACAAAAATAAAAATCGGTTTAGATGTCTTTGAAACCTATATTTTGATCGTGGCTAAAGCAATGGGTCCTCTAATCATCCAGGGTGATAAAATAACTGAACCAAGGCAGAGATTTGTTGTTTTTACTTTGGAAGAGACGCTTCTGCCTGGCTTTCTCTTCCCCGTCGTCGTTGTCGAAGGTGGGCCGACTAAAACGAAATTTGATTGGTTGATTTTCAATTCATTGAAATTCACTTACTATTCAATATTCATTTAGATTTTTTTTTAAATAAATTCTAAATTTTACAATTTGGCCAAACAATAGTTGCTTTTTTATCGACTTTAATTTACCTAGCCGGTATCTATCTGCATATAAAACTTGAAAGGAAAGAGAGAGGAGAATATATGGATAAAAATAGAGGGATGAAAGAAAACAAACAAACAAACAAACACAAAGAATGACATGACATTGTATATGCATGTAGATGAAATCAGCCGACAAGATGTGTCAGTTTTATTTTTTATGACAATTTTTCAATTTACATATAAGCTGTGTTCATTTAAATCAAATCCATATAGAAACTGTCATAATGATTTTATTCAAATACTTTTGGACATCACGAATTATTATCAGAAGCATAGAGAAAACTTTTATTCATTTCATTACTTGCATTTTTAGAAATGCTATGTATCAAATGCAAGTGACATCATGTATAAATATATGTAATGGATAGATATTTGATATTTTTTTAATTAGTTTATTAAGAGTGGCAAATATTGACAGTGCTGAAGAATTAAAGTATCACTAGATTTTTAAATTTTAAGCACATTTTAAAATGCATTCCTTGATGGAATAAATTTGGACAGTTACTTCATAAATTACAGCTGAATGTGTAGCAGCTTATATACACAAACTGTAAAATGCAATAAAAATTTGTTGGTTGATTTAAATAAAATATGTATGAATAAAATGTACATTATATTCAAGCATGTTCATTAAATAATATAGACATATTATGTCTATTTATTTTTACAATAATCCTTTTTAGTTTTCTAATTATCTTCTTGATGTTAAGTTGAAATTCATCAAAGAAGGTGCCATAGTTCTTGTTAACCCAAGTACTTTTGATTTCCTATTTCCTTCAATTATCTTCTTGATGCTGAGTTGAAATTAATGAGTTATTATCCTCAATTGAAAGATAATTAGAGAACTAGAACAGATTATTGTAAAAATAACTAGACATGATATGTCTATATTATTTAATGAAACATGCTTGAATGAAGATACGCTGCCTAAATATACATATTTGATAGACTCTCCTGTTGTCTTCAACATATGAGGGTCCAGTAATTCAGCTCTTACAACTGAACAGTCAGACTAACCTGCACATATGATTTGATTATAATGATGAAGATTTGTGCAGATCCATTCACCCTTTTTGGAAGACAGAGAAAACTGGTGTACAAAAGGTCCCCAAACAGCCAACCAAAACCAAAGAGCCCAGTCTGTCTGACTGTTTAACTCATAGAAGGGGAGAAGAAATGATTTGAAATGATTTAATACTTTTCCCATGAGTATTTGTTGCAACTAAGTGAATATAACTCGACTGGAATTCAAACTCATCTCTTTGATTTCTCACTCCGAGCCACTTATGCATTGCGCCACACACCACCTGTACATCCCCCCACATATATATCAGGAGTGAAAGGTCTATGCATGCACTGTATGTTTTAATTTTTGTGTAATATAAAATTAATTATTGATAATTTTTCACCATCCTCATTGTACTTGTGATATGTATATATTTTATTTTGTATTTTCCATTCCTTCATTTCTTAGGATAAATTGTAAACAAATGATATTACATTATTATGATTATTATGTATTTTAAAAGTGTGAGTAGAGAATGCTCCTGTTTGTTTAACATGAAAAGAAGAAAAAACAATGAATGAATTGCTTTCCTCTTCTATTCCCTTTGAACAGAGAGCAATAAAAGCAACAAAAAAAAACAAAAAAAACAGTAGGAGATCAAAGAGAGAAAGGCTGGATAAATCAGAATTTCTGATGCTTGCCTTCCAGCCATATTAAGCCAGCAGGCACACTCTCAACATATTTTCTCCTGAAGCACGTTTTTATTGCCCCATGCAGCTGAGATCAAAGACTTGCCTATTCAAAGGATTTAAAGCTTTCCTCATAGTCAGGCAGATTTAGACTAGAAATGTGTATTTAGTCAATTTGCAGGTTTGTTTTATTACTGATTCTAGTTTATTTTGTATGATTATTCAGTACTGAAGAGTATGAACGTCTGGTGTCCCTGATGTCACATCATTATTTTTTACTGCTTTTTAAAAAGATTTATCCCATAGAGAGTATTCTTGACCTTTTCATAAGATTCAGATTCAGTTACTGACCAATACCCAGAATTTTCTTCTTGACCAGTTCAAACTTGGAGTAAAAACAGCAACTGGCAAAGTTTGTTTTGTGATTAGAAGGGCAAAGTTTCCATCCATTTATCTATTCCAAAGCTCTAAAATTTAATTTTAGATATGTAAAATTATTTTTTAAAAGGTTATGTAAAAAGTAAACTAATACCTAAATATTTTGTTAGAATTAAGCTTCAATTCATGTAAAAAATTATAAACCAGTAACTTTTTTCACATTTTCATTAACCCACAAAAGCCAAAAAGTCAATAATCTCAGTTTTCTCTCTTCTTTCCTGAACTTTTACAACAAGAAACTTTGAAGAGAAGAAGAATATTATTATTCTCAGAAGAGAAAAGCCAAAACTTGACCTGAAAATCAAAACCAAAGTGGGAAGCAAGTAATGTCATCGTTATTTTGTTTTCAATTATTATGAACAGTATGAGTAAATGACGTGATGTCCCATTCTGAATAAATTGTTCTGCTTCCAATGTTTGTTATTTTATCAACATTAGAACATATGACCAACTGCCAGATATTATGATTTGAACAATTTGATTACAGCTTTGGCAAGACACAAAAAAATCTCAGAACCATCTGAATTCTGTAATTGCTTTGAAAACCTTTGACTGAAAATGAACAAATACAATGATTGATCACTGGAAAGCAGCTTCAATTCAGTTGCATAATAGATCAGTCGAGAAAAATCATGATATATTGAAAAGGTTAATTCATTGTATTAAAATGTTGACCTGTCAGAAATTACCATTTTGAGGACAAGATAAAATGGAAGAAGCAAACAATAAAGGTTAGTTTCTGGTTATGTGAAGCAGCAGCAGAATAAAATGATTATTTAAGATCACATTTAGATTTTGTGAAGAAAAATGCCAACTGCACATTTTCCAGACTTTCAAGTGATATTCAAAACAAGATTATTGATTGTACAGCTGCAACAATTGAAGGTGAAAAAAAAACATCATTTGTTATGTTTGATGAGACTACAAATCTTCAAATGAAATCTCGATTGTCATGTGTTTTGTGATTTGTTGATGAAAAAGAAAAGCTTCTGTCCCAACTTTACTGACAATGACAGTAAAAATAGGATAGAAGTAAATGACATTAAATATGGGACAAAGAAATAACACAAAAGGGGGACAAAATTAAATGAGAGTAAAAATGGGATAGAAGTAAATGACAGTAAAGATGGGACAAAGAAATAACACTAAAGGGGGACAAAAGTAAATGACAGTAAAAATGGGACAGAAGTAAATGACATTAAAGATGGGACAAAGAAATAACACGAAAGGGGACAAAAGTAAATGACAGTAAAAATGGGACAGAAGGAAATGACAGTAAAGGGGTATAGAAGCACAAATATTTGTTAATGAATTCAACTGTGGCCAAAAATTCATGGTACAAATTTATAATGGAGTGAACGTGAAAGCTGAGCATTTGAACAGAGTGTAGATAAGATTAAAGAGATTTTTGGTGCAAATGTCATATTTGTACATTGTTATGGACATTCACTTAATTTGATACTCTCTCAATTATTTTCAAGTTTTTGTAAATGTTGAATTTTCTTCTAAATTTTCAAAGGAATTTCAACTTTTTCTCAAAATCAATGGCTCAAATAGCACTACTGAATAAAATTTTTAGGAGCAATTTCCAAAACATATTACAATTATTCATCTTGACCTGTATCCATTTTATCTAACTTACTCTAGCTTCTGAGCTATTTTCAACTATATTAAAGAAACCAGAGGATTGGTGTGCCTCAGAATTTGCACAGGCTTGGAGATTTGTTGCAATCCTAGGAGATTTTCAGTTTAAATTTTTATTAGTGGTTTTTGAAATCATAGAGAAATGGCTCAGAGATTCTGTTTTCGATTTTTCAAAAGATTTTGTATTTGTGAGGTTGAAAACTTCAAAAAAATGATTGGTTGATATCAATACAAGTTGAAGAATTTATTGCCTGGTTCTGCATGGTGTTGCTGAAACACCAGAGAAGCATGGTTTACATCAAGAACCAAAAGCTTTTTTGTTTAACAGCATTTTGGATAAAGTTATTCACATTTTAAAACAAAAAAGAGTTCAGATTTGTTGAATCCAAAGCTTTTTCAAACTTACTTTCTGTGAGAGATCATTTTTTTCATTAAAACAAATAAATAATTATATGAGGTATTCTAAAGGTGAACAGAGATTGAGTAATTTGGTCTTCATTTCCATGAATAATGACCTTTTGAAGAAGGTGAAGGTAGAGCATGATGCAGATACATTTTATAGCAAATGATTGTTGAGTTTGCCAAAAAGAAACAAAGAATTAAATTGATTTACAAATAAATTTTAAATATCTTATTATTTGTAGGTTTTATTATTTTCTCAGATTTCTTGCATAATATTGTAATGATAGAAAAAAAAGTTCACTATTTCAAAAATAAAAAACTAAAAGTTGGCAAACCATATTAGTTTGCCATAAAGAAATAAAACCAAAAAGACAAGAAAAAAAATAAATAAATAAAATAGGCCATAAGATCATCATTCCTAAATGTAGGTGAAGAAAAGGGATGATCACATGAGTCTTGTAAACCAATCAGAAATCAAGAAACAATTCTGAAATGAATTCCTTTGTCTCAAAAAAAGGCTAAACTCAGAGATGACCAGGCAAGGCAAGGCAAGCAGTCCATTCTCCCATGCCCTAAATTTTTGAACACCTAAAAGTCCCACAGAGAGTCAAAAGGTTTTCTACTATCAAGAGATACATACATACACATTTACAAGGACTCTTTTCTCACTCTCATTATTATATGCTAAAGGACTTAGAAACTCAACACGAGAAGTTTCTGATAAGAATTTATGAACTTTTTGAATATTGTATATATTTTGTTTTAAGAGATATAAAATTTTATCAGTACATGCAATATATATCTTTGCATTAATTATCTTTCCATGCATTTTTAAAATGCCAAAAATTAGTGTATATTAAGGACGTTATCCAAAGATGACCACCTGTAAACCCATAACCCCTACATTGGTAATCCCTACATCATGGCAGGTCCATAGGGGAATATCAAGTCCAGTGGAGAGGAGTATCAAGCTTGACACATGGCCAATTGATAGAAATGCATTTTCTCACACTAAAATTAGTTCATATAACATTTACAGATAGCAAATAATTTTTTAGGGAGGGAAGAAGGCTCCACTGTTCTACTCTTTGCCTTGGTGATTGACCTGCATCATGCAGCTTCTAGTTTCCAAGTCACCCTTCACCACACAACCATTATATATATATATATATATATATATATATATATATATATATATACACACACACACACAGTTTACTTTTCTTTAATATCTGTGAAGTGTTGCAGTACCTTTGAAAAGATAATAAAGTAGTTTCCTGTTGCTTTCTCCACAGTTTTTCTTTCTCCTAGACTTGACTGCCACCCAAGGTTTGAGAATCCCTAGTCTACAGGGTGGTCCGAAAGTCTTGTCACTCCCTACCAAAATTAATGAGAACTATGTAACAAGCAATACAGTAATACAAAGCACATGTACTGGATTCAGTTTATTCACTTTCATTGATGCTGTCATACATCAAGAAGGTTTGTATGAACGTCATCATTTTCATGGCAGCCATCTGAAATAGAAAATTATATTATGTAGCGGTGACAAGACTTTCTGACTACCCTGTATTGTCCTACTAACCCATAGACGAGAAGGAAACGAGATGGATTCATGTTTTTCCTAAAGGCATTAGTGCGAATTGAACAGGTTCAATTTGGTTAGAATTTGAACTCAGCTTACCAATTCCACTTACTATGCCATTATGCAAGATTCAGTGGTTACCTGTAAAAATAGATAATGAAGTAAGTAGTAGGATTTTATCACATTCCAGTTTGTTTCTACTTCATTCCAGGGACTCCTTAGATTTCTTAGACTGACACTTGCAAAGGGGTTTCTTGATTATTTTTTGACAATTCTAGTTTCTAACTTAAATAAAAATAAACAAAACTGAAAAAGTGTTTATGTATGTATATGACACTACAAGATGCTGAAAGGGTTAAGGTATATCCCGATAGATATCCTGAGACAAAGCCAGATTATATTAAATTTAAAGAGTTTGTTTTCTTCCATTGAAGAAGACCAAATGAAGGAAGTAGGGTTGACTAGGGTTGAAGTAGGTAAAACGGCTTTATTATTCTAAAGGATATAACTGAAAAGGCCATATGGATAATTTAAACCCAAAAGGGGTGGTGGGAAGAGATGGTGGAAGGACATTTAAGGTTGGCCAAGAATTTTGCTAAACAAGGCAGAAATAGAGAAATTAATTATGACCACTTACCAAAGTGTGAGTTATGAAACATGTCTCATGATTGCATAAGAGATCAGTTGAAATATATTTGGAATTTTGAAAATGAAGACAAAATTATTTTACTTGTCAGAAAGTTAGAAGTGCAAATCGCTAAAGAAATAAAATTTCTTTAGATATGAACCAAACCAAAGTGGCAAACAAAATACACAAACTGATATTTGCTAAGTAGCTGTCAAGGAAACAGCTGGTAAATTTCTGATTATGAAGACAGGACCCTAAGTTGGAAAAATGTTCTAACGAAAAATTAAGTGATAATTACAATTAATGATTATAATTTAAGACATGGTCTTTTGCCTATGTAGTTTAAAAATGTAATTTGTCAAAATGATAACTAAAGTGAAGGGCCTGGGTGAAATACCAAGGAGGACAGAGGAATTGCCTACACTTCTTGGGTAGTATTGCTATGAGATTCCAATTTGAGAAAGAAGTAGTTAAAGTGGATCAATATCCTGCAACCACTACTCATGTAAGGGATCTCTCCAAAATTGGGCATGCAATTAATTTCCCAGAGCCAGACAACAATGGCCTCTTATTGGCAATTAGGGGAACCACCAGAACCCCAAGCCACATCAGACCCCATGCCAGTTTTGGGTGAAGGTCCATATAAGCAGGAGATCAAAGCAATCAAGAGTAGTTTTTCCAGAGAGAGGCAACCACTTCACCAGATTCCACATGATTTGCTGCCTGAAGAGAATCTCCAACTTAAGCTTTGTTCCAGACTTAGCTAACAGGAAGGGTCATTATTTCTGCATGAAGAACTGACAATTTTAATACCAAGAACTAACCAAACTCTGTACAAAGAATGATATATAAACATATAAAAATAGACCCAGATAAGTTCCAATCTTCTCTCTATTACCTGTACAAACTTTTTTTATCCTTTTTTTTTTTTTTCCTTCTGACTTCACTCTGCCTGGACCCAACCAATACAGCGATTCCTATTGAGAATTTGACCCTTGCCAGCTCTGTGATCAAATCAAACACAATGTGGGACAGTGCAAGGGTTGGATCGAAGTGACCAACACAATGGTCAGCCATGGGGATCATTCACCAATTGTGCTAGCATGGAGAGGTTACATACAAAGACAGATCATAGACATTTGAGAAATATAATGCACATATTAGTTTAATTAAATAAGATGAGATGGGTCTCACACAAGGCTATAAATCTTTGCCCACTTAAAACTATTGTAAATTTCTAATCATTGCCAGCTTATAAGTGTATGTTTTCTGTCATGTTTTCTATAAATGGAATGTTGACCCTATTGGAGTTATTTCTGTATATAATTATCATATTTTGTAGCAGGAATTCTGAATGAAAGATAAAGATAGAGGATGATCCACCAAAAATAGCAATGCAAACATTTTGCCTTGTTTTTTGATATATGCATATTACCTGTGGAACTACTGATATGCAAATATTATTTCACTATTTTTTCCTATGTATGGTGAAAATTCTTGTAATATTTTATTGCATTCATGGCAGAAATTTTCAAAGAAACCAGAATGAAGATGGACAAGAATATGAACTAGCAAGCAACAGTGAAGGAAGTTGGAATTTCAAAAAGTAGTATTTCAGTAATTCTCTTTGGATTGAACAAGATATGTTTGCCCTCAAAAGCAGCAGCATAAGAATGGTATGGAAACTGATCATGGAATCAGTTCAGTCAAAGAAGATGTCAAGAAAAATAATGGCTGGGTGCATCGTATCCAATTTTACTTGATAATACGAAGCACATCAATGACTGAAGCAATCTAATTCAGCAAAGAATCTGCCTATATTTCTGAGATAAGGTATTATGTAAACTATTTACATTATTAGGACTATTGTCCTCATCTTTGTTGCCATATTTATCACAATGTTTTGGCTGTTGTACGCTCCAGCTTTCTTCAGGTGGTTGGAATGTCGAACCGAACCCTTTATTTTGCTTGCTGGGGTAGACTATTCTAGTTCCACGTACCATGTCTACCCCAGTGAGTGAAATAAAGGGTTCGGGTTTGACATTCCAACCACTTGAAGAAGGTCGAGTGTACAATGGCCGAAATGTTATGATAAATATGGCAACAAAAATGAGGACAATAGTCTGAATAATGTAAATAGTGTTCAGCTACGAAATCAGCATTAAACAAAAAGCATTTGACGGCAAGATGAAGTTGGTCAAAGTGGTATGAACTATGGGGATGCAGATGCAATATTACATTCAGTGATGAAATTTGAATGAAGTCTCATTCTACGAAATAAGAATTTGTCAGAAGGTCTACAGAAAAACAAAACAAAAATGACTCATATCACATGCCAAAAACAATGAAGTCTGCTGGTAAGACTTTGATGTTTTTGGGATATATAAAAAATGATAGTTCAAGAAAGTTGGTTAAACTTGACGGACGATTGAATACTGTCAAAATACATCCAGTTGCTGAAAACTGTTTGATTCCAAAGTTGGAGGAAGGAGATTGAATGCAACACAACAGAATTCTGGCTGATGAAGGCATCACTGTATTGAAAGGTTGGCCAGGTCAGAATTAAATAGAATTGAGAAAATGCAAATAGAACTAAAGAAAGGAACTTGTTAAAAGAATCCACACAATCTTGAAGAGTTCAGTTTCAGAGAACGGCATCTCATACATGTGAAGGTGCTGATTGATTTGTATGCATCTTTTCCCAGATGCAATGAAGCAATTATTTAAGGTAAGGAAAGCCACATAAAATATTAACAATGTATGGTAACTTACTGAAATTAACATTATGCAATAAATTTTTATTATATACATTTTTGTTTTAAAGTACTGTATCTGGCTGGATTTTTGTAAAATAATCAAAAACCTTTGTACAGCCATCTTGGGCTTGAATCTTTCTATCTCATCCAGAAGCTCTGGTACCAAATATAATAAGTAAATATGAAAATGACTCCAATATGACCAATGTTTCATCTGTCAAAAACACAATGTTAAGAATCCATTTATAAACTGGCAATTTTATTTCCAGTATCTAATAAATTAAAAAGTTTAATAAACTCCAAGAATTTAATTAAATTAAAAAATTTAATAAAATTTTTTTTAAAAATCAGAAAAAAGAAAAAACATTTAAGTATTTTTGAAAATTATTGTAATATAATCAAAACATTTATCACCTGACATCTGGTTCTACAAAGATAATTGTTTAGTGAGTGAGAGACCTGTTACCTTTGTATCAGGGATTGTTATTACTATTAGTTAAAAGATTATTTTTTTTTGACTTGAAGTGTAGAATCTGTTCCTATTTGTCTTCTAAATTTTATTATCTCTAATTAGAATTTCAAAATAATGCTACACATAATAACTTGATATTTCCAACTGTCTCTCTATTTCTAGTATAACTGTTTCTGCTGCAAACATATGGATTTTAACAGTACAACTTACTTTACAACTTATTACTGATTTTGTTGAGATGGGAGAACAAAACTTTCTGCCATTCAATGACAATAAATATGTAAAATAAACTTTCGATATTTTGATATCCTTGCCAAAATTAGTAGTTAGTCACAGATAATTTTATCTTGCTTTTTCCACAGTATTGCAGAATATAAAAGTTGAATAAGATAATCAAACCAAGAAAAATACCAAGACAGAAAAAAGGAAACTTTTTCAATGTCAATATTTTGTAAAATTCTTGCAAATTAAGGAAGATGATCTCTTTTCAGCAAACACATTTATAAATAATTATGCAATAACATTTTTATGAGAGAGTGAGTGGTGTAGAATAGTGGTTAACAAGCCAATATTGCAGGATGTTACTACAGCAATGAATTTGATCTTCACTGATAAAGATTTATGTTTAACTAAATATATACCAAATGGTTTAGATGGTTTTAGATTTCAAATGGTGTTGAAAGTCGCTGTTCAATCACAGATAAAATCCATGATTTTGAGAGTATGAAAGTTCTCTCTACTTGGACATATACAACAATACAATCTTCCTATTCTCCCTGTTGGGACCTTTGCCATAATAAGGTTAGTAAAGCTCAACATCAGGATATCTACACATTTTGCTTATATATGAGATGCAGTTCAGCGGTTTTGAAGCTTTTTTATTTTTAGGAAAGGCAGATATTATTGTCCTAGATTATAATAAATTTTATCATTATTATACATCTAATAAGCTGACTTGCCAACTTTTGTTATTCCAGATTGAAAGAGATGGCTGTAACACACCCTTTTAAACACTGCTTGTCATGGCTGACTAGTTTTCAAAAAGCAAGACAATTTGGAAGCTCTCTATGAAATAAAGTTTTGCATTAAACTAGGTAAAAACACTACAGAAACTTATGAAATATTCCAAATTGCTTATGGATTAACTTGTATGAGCTGAGTGTCTATTTTTTGCTGGTACAAGTGATTCAAAGACAGTTGGGAGGAGGTGAGATATGATGAGAGATGTTGGAGGGGGAGGTACTTCAGAACATCAGTGCTGGTTCAGAGAATTCACAATTCATTGGTGACAGCAGGGAAATGGTAGATGGGCATCTTTCACCCTCCTTACTGTTCAGACCTTGCTCCCTGTAATATTTGGTTATTCCCTATTCAAACACTATTAGGTACAATGCTACCTGTGTAATAAAAAATTAAGATGAAAGAAATATGGGTAAAAATTGAATAATTGGCAATTTTTCATTTAAGAAATTCAAAGAATATTACAACTTATTATTACTATCAAATTTAAAATTCTAAGGGAATTTTGCAACAAAGTAAAAAGTGAAAATAAAGCAAGACCTGTAAATTTCATTTTAATTTATTGTTGTAGAACTGACAAGTCCACAAAAATGACAAAGCTGCTCTTTCAGCAGATCAAGAGTTAATGAATTTTTGTTTTCAAAAAGGGTTTTTTTTTCTTTGTTTTAACTTTTCATTTTATTATGTTTTTTCTTTTAATTGTGACACTTGACTGGCTTGTTGTAGATGTCCATGTAATGGACTAACAGGAACAAGTGAATGTTTTTCTTTGTTGTTGCTTTG